GGGGGGGGGGGGGGGGGGGGGGGGGGGGGGGGGGGGGGGGGGGGGGGGGGGGGGGGGTTCTCGGGGCGTTTTTTATTTGCCGGAAAAGTGGCGGGCATGCGGGAGGTTAAAATGTCATGAATCCCAACAATAGCATCGATGCTGTGGGAGGGGGGCGCGTGTGGTCTTCGCGTGGGTGTGGAAAGATTGATTTTGCGCGAACACACAAGCCAGCAATGGAGGTACTTAAAAGGTTTACCCCGCTTCTGCGCGTGCTGTGTCTGCTGCACTGCTGTGCTCCACGAGCTCGGCTTCGTTGTTCCTTTGAGATGAGGGTGGCCACACACGGTTTCCTGTAGAGAAGTCGAAGCAAAACCAAGTCGAAGAGATGTTGTTGAGGACAGGAGGTGTCGCCGTTGGCTGCTTGCGCACAACGCTCACGTGGTACCGTGGTCCAAGGGGTTGGGGGTTGGGGTTGAAGTGCTGCTGAGGTTGTTCGCGTCCGCAGCGTCTTTTGTGTCCTCGTGCAGGCTGCCCGCAGACGTGATCGATAGTGCCTTTGGTAGTAAAGCGGTGGACCGGATGCGGCGAGCAACGCGGTGCTCTGACTGCTGCTGTGGGGTTTCCTATAATCTGGAGGCGTTGGTTGTCGCTGCGTGTCTGGTTAAGTGAAACTTTCTCGGCTGCGCAGCATTGTCGTGCCTATTTTTGGCTGGCAAGGTTTTGTAGTTGTGTTTTTTTTTCCTTTGCCGCTCGGGTGGATAGAAGAGGGCGAGCTTTGCCAAATGGCGTATCGCATCGTTCTGCAGCGAGAATTGGATTCATCATGTTTTTTTCGTTTGTCGGGACATTACGTGAAAAACGCACTATTAATAGACATCAAGCAACGCGTGAGCGCTTGAATGCATAACAAACGTACCACTGAAGAAGAGGAGGGTGAGCGTGTCGCGGGGCGGAACCATATCGCCCGAAGGGAAGGGGATGCATGTCCCCGCCGCCGCTTTAGGCTGTGCGGATAGGGACGAGCCGCTGTCTGCGACACCATCAGCGGTGATTCATGGACAACTTGGTTTGTTGATGTGCTTGAAATTCTCGGTCAAGAAACCAAAGCCTTCGCGGTGCTACCTACAACAACCGGCGGAGGACGCAAACAGCACGATGTGCGCGCATCGTTCAGTCCCTCGTCTTCGCGCAACCGGGAGGCACGCCTGAATTTACTTAGTCCCAGACAACCAGTGGCGCCACTATCTGCCACGACTTTGCCGAGCTTCACGTAACGTCGATGCTCCCAAGGAATCGAAGATGGCGCGCGGTTGAGCACTGGACACTGGCAAATACCACCCACCCCGAGGCAAACAGCAAAAATTCGGTGGCTTGTCTTCATCTCACCGCTCACGTTGCACAATCAATTGTGTACCGTCTCCTCGAGAAACCTACTCCTATTGGTAACCTCCAATATTAGTCTACAGATAGCGCCCGCACTCAAGAACTTGAGCACAACTTTGTGAGCTCGGTTAAGAACCCCACACTAAAAACCTATATAGCGGCCATTTGTAGCCCACACGAGGATGATCAGCAAAAAAAGAAACCCAGCCTCGGCCGAAACTAGAGGTTCTCAAGTGCGGGCGCCATCTGTAGTTGCTTGCTCTGCTTTACATGTGTGGCACGTTTTTCTTCATACTGATTGGAAGACGACCTCATGTGCACCATGATCTTAGCACCCGTGGTCCGCCCCAACCCCCCCCCCCCCCCCCCCCCCCCCCCCCCCCCCCCCCCCCCCCCCCCTCCCCAACCCTCATCTTCGCCTCCCGGAAAGAGCTACACTTTCGCTTCGTGCGACATTTCGAAGAAAACGTTTGTGTCGCCGCACGATCTCTTTCTGCTTGACCGCCCGCCGACCAGCACTCCCTTTTCTCGTGTTGCGCCGCTGCCGCCGCCGCCGCCGGCCCACATCCGCAAGGGGCAGGGCGGGGTGTACCCAGGGTTTTGCGTGCCTTCGCGGTTAGACGATTGACCAAGGGTCCTCGAGATGGCGGAGCGCGGGGCAGGGCGGGGGTTGCAAAACCGAATGCCTTTCAAGCATCAACATCTCTCCCATGTTTTCTGCGGTGACATCACAGGGGGGGGGGGGGCATCCATTCACATCTGTGGACCCTTCATGTCAATCGTTTCATGACAAGGACGACGAAGACGGTGGTGGTGGCGATGGCCCCTCGGCCTTTTTTGTCTCTCCCTCGGCCTTTCCTCGCCGCTCAAGCAGCCACTCCCGGATAACTTCTCTGCTGCGCATGTCGGCTTGCCGGATGGGCTCTGGGACGCGGAACCTGGTTCGCATCGCACGCGCGGTCGCAAGTAAACGAGAATCTCAAACGGAGGCTTCAGATCTGCGCTACGTTGGTGGGCGCGATTGCGCAGCAGCCATGCGGAACAGGCAAGATGGCGCTCATGATGTAACGAGGTGCTGGCTGAAAAAACGCGGGAACTGCACCGCGATACCGCCCCGAAACACACACACGTACAAAGTCGGCCAAAAATAATGTTTGTGAAGTAGCAAAGCGCCCCGTCGTAAAATTTCCACAACGGAACTCTGCCGGGAGTAGAACATCGTGCTTTTTTAAAAAGTATAAACCGTTTCTGATGCCGTTGAAAACGCTCGTGGAAGTATGTTTATGCCCTCGGCACTAAAAGTGTTGTGTCCGGGATGAATCAAGTGTGTACGACGGAACAATGACAGGGGCGATCGAGGTACTGCAGAAAAAAAACTCTTGACGTCAACGCAGCGACAACGACATGGCTGTTTGTTTCGTTCCACGCAGAGGCCGCTCAGAAGAACAAAAGAGTGAAGCGATGATGGATCGTACATCCCAGAAGAAACAAGATGACGACGAGGTGTGGCCGACTACAAGCACGACGAGGATGGGTACCATGCCAACGTGCAAATTACCTGCAGACGGCCTTGGTCAAGGCCACGCAAGTCTCCAAGGAAACCCTGTGTCCGATCGAGACGAAGACCGGGCTAGTCACCACACCGCCGCCCTTCTTCCCTTCTTCCTCCTTGGGCACGAGCGCCGTTCCCCAGACCGTTCCGGAGGTCCCCAGAAGAGGTGTTTCCCGCTTCCCCGCCGAGAGCAAGACCTTGGCACGCTGCGATGCGAGGGAGGCCGGTGCTGTGTGCGAATCATGTCTGTGTTGGGTATGTGTTCCTTTCAATAGCATCGACCGCGCTTACGACTGACCAATGAAAGTACTTCAGTCCTGAAGCGGAACATGAAAAACGCGAAAACACTCTCTAGTTTGTGTGCGTGTGACTACGGTAGACCCGCCGTCGTTCTAGGCTGACGCTCGCGGTACGGTAAAACCATCATCAAACCTGGAAGAAAAAACAATGGAGAGTTCGACATACCGGGCAGTCGCGGCCGGTGTGTGGTAAGACAACCAATCCAATCAGGGTATTGCACGCGCGTTCGTCCTCTACATTCATAAGTCGAGCTAAAACATTACCCAGGAACAATGATGAGCTTGATTGAGAGACAGAGAGCTAACCTCTCGCACGCCGACCGTGAGCCTGCACGCCGCATCTGTTACATCTTACGCAGAAGTCCAAACTGCAAGATCAGGTACAACGGTGCCTTACTGAAAGCGCTCACCTCTCGCACGTCGACCTTGGTTAGCCCGTCGACTTGCAGGAATGTCTTGCCCAGCCCCACGGTGCGGAGCCCCGTGACCACGCCCAGGTGGCACGCCAGCCCCGCCCCCCTGGGGTGGAGCCGCCCGTTGCCGTCGACGAACACCACGTCGGGCTCTAGGTCTTTTTGTCGGCAAGATAAGGCAGAAAAAAATCGACAACATGAAATCAAACTTCAAGTTTCAAGGAAAACGAAAGCCAAATGATTCGTACCACACAAAGGGGGTCGTCCCTGTTTAGTGCCGGTGTTTTCGGCGGGCACACACTGAATTAATTTCCAAGTCGTTGCCAGTGCTTTGAATGGTGCCGGTCCGGTATAGTGCTGGTGGGTTTTGTGGGCGCATATCGGCACTTAACAGGGACCCCCTCTGTATACCATTGTTGACCTCGACTTCGCGTGTGGCATGCATACATGCAGCAAAACGGGACCAGGATACGAATACATGGCGGACACATGGGAGAAACAAAGGCGATGATCTGTCTGTGTGTGTGCAAACCGCCAGGCGGTGCGTAGTACCACAGCGGTGGATCTGGTACGAGGCAGGGGAAGCATGCTGCGAGCGCTATTACGCTAAAAGAAGACAAGGAACGTGGAGAACGGAAGAGCAAACCAAGTAGGGGGGACACCGTCACATCTCTTGCCGTAACAACTCGTGAATAGCGAGGATGAAACTACCGGGATACAAAATCTGATCATAGATATATATATATATATATCACGTCAACATCCTGCCCGACGACGGCGACGTCCATAAACACGGGGTACGTACAAAACTAGCCGCCCGTTCCTTCCCCCTCGCCCCTCACCGTCACACCTGGCCGTTCCCGCCTAAGCTGGCCAACCAAACGCGCCAGGTGGTCCACCTGCAACGGCGAAAAGGAGGCATTGCGTACAACAACATTAATAATGTGATCTTCGGTGCTCCCGGGGAGAACAGGCCGCATGACGTGCGTGTAGGCTATGGCTTGGTTGTTGCCCCACGTGAACCAGTAAAGCCTCGTCTAGCCATTAATCAATCCTAGCCGACGCGCGCGACGTCTCTCGCTCCTGAGTCAAACCGGACTTATACTCCCACGCGCACACGCACAACAAAGGGTATGGTCCTACAACGCCTGCCCCACCACCTCGGGACCCCCTTCCCCCCCC